TTTTCTGTTTAATTCAATTTTCTATTCCATTTTATTCTATTATATATTATTGTATTGTACTTTATTCAGCGTATAGTTGTGTTGTGTTGTGTTGTGTTGTGTTGTGTTGTGTTGTGTTGTGTTGTGTTGTGTTCTAATATACTGTATTAGCCTCTCTTTTACAAACAGAGCCTGACACAAATCTTAATGCGGTCGCAACAATCTAATTATAATTCAAAATGCGAATTATAGTATAATCTAATTAGCACTAACCAATCAAAAGACAGATTAACATTTTTTGATCTGATCGACCAATCATGTGGAAAGCCGGATTTGGACTTTTTTACATGCGCCCAGACCACCACCCGCATTTAAGGAAGGAAAACATAGCCTGCACGCTGGTCGTATACAACAATTTTTCTCGCAGTACCGCAGGCTCGCATTTTCAGCGGACTTGTGAAAAATTGAAACTTTTGCATTTTGCACAGAACTGTCCACTTTCTGTAAGATGTCCGCTGACAATACGAGCCCGCACGAGTTGGAGAAATTTTGCTAAGTTTGACCAACGTGCTGATACTCATGGTAATACTGTACAATAGTATTTTTGAGCGACCGTGTTGTATTGAACACAGAACACGAACCGCAAGCGAGTAAACAACATAATGTAAAATGTGTCAATTCCTCTGCAAACTAGTTACATGCACTGGTTGTTGTAAAAGACTATGTGTTTGTAACTAATTGACTTTTCATATTTGTAACTAATTGTCTTTTTAATTAGATGCTATAACTATAAGCTCGTTAGTTATTCATAGACTAATTACGTTGCAGTGCTGATTTTCATTCATTTGTATACGCATGCATTACACTAAACCTGTCCTAATTTATTTTTATTTTAATACAGCTGGTCAAAGCACACTCTAGAACATTTTCCATACTCTATACAACAATTCTTTACACAACATACCGCTCCAATGGAAAGTAAACCTGCTTTAAAACAGAGAGTTGAAGAAGAATATAACAAGTTTAAAAGTATGTATTTAAATTAGAACTATACCTAATTAACATAGTGCGTTTGCACTGGTCAATATTGCATTAACAATTCTGTACCAGGGGCCGATTGGTCAAAAGCCATTTAGCTTAATCTTAGGTTAACGCAAATTTCAAAGGAATCTTCCCAACAGCCTGTTTAGAATCATGAAGATAGTTTTCCAAAATTCATATCTGGATCAATAGAAGTTTCCAATAGTTTTCAGATTCCACAATAATTTAACACGGTATTTTCGGACGATGGTTTACATTTTATTCTAATGAGCCAAGACCGTGATAATATACTCCCTTATTTCATGTTGACAACAAGTGTTTTCCTTCCTTAGACATGAAATCGCAGGCTGAAGTTTTAAATTATTTTGGCGAGGCAAATTCTCCCAACATTTTTGTTTGGTAAGTTCCAAGTCATCATGTGACAACGTTTTTGACCATTTATCAGCAGGACAATTTAGGGGTTGTGTACATGAGGTCTGGTTCTCTTAGTAAAGGGCTGGTTCTCTTAGCCAAGATCCGGTATGCTATTTGAATTCCCTATTAAAAATGGTTTTCGTTTATATGAGAGGAGGGCGAGCCCTTGTGGGCTAGCCGCTAGGTATCGTTATTGAGAACCCGAAATCGCCACTAATAGGTAGCGCTGGATATTTGCCAAATGCAAATGGAAGCTTGGCCCTCCTAGTATAGGGCTATGCAAAAACCCCGCCGTATATCCGTTTCAAACTCAGCTTCGAAGTTCGAAAATTTGTCTGGCATAATATGATTTTGGTTTTCACTATTTTTGGTGTAACGTTGTCTTTAAAAATTGCGACTTTTGTGGCGAAATGGTGCAAACCTGCATTGAACGGCATGCACGCAGAAGTAGTTAATTCACATTGAAAATATCATTTCGACTTAAAATATTGATTGCTTGTTGTTCTGTAATTATAGTATCATATGGAAGTGTCTTTTGGAAACTGGGCGTGTAAATCAAATTTGTCTCCAGTAAGTTTCAATTAAGTTTTTGTTTATATAGTTAGTTAAAATAGTAATACAGTTGATGGTTTTGCACGTATTTTTGGCCTCCTCACAACTAAATTTAACCTGAGTGCAATCCGACTTGGACTAAAAATATATTTCCCGTTAACATCAACTTTCTTGTTACAATTAATTTGTGTCCATGTCCCTACACTTTCCTTTAGCTTGTGTAACATGACTTATACACGCAAAAACACAGAAGTTTCTTTTTCATGACTGCATGCAGACATGCATACAGGGTGAAAGATTCACTGTACATGATCGGAGTCAAATTTCTCATCAAAATAACAGGATTAACGAGTGAAGTTATGTATATATACTCGCTTTCGTTCAACACATGACATGGTACAATGAGAAGATAGAGGAAAGTTATAATATACATTACCATACACTAGCTTATACATGACAATAACAAATGAACAAATTCACACTAAAGACCCTGATTCAAAACGCTGAGTGCTTTAATGACTCCATGGCCATATATGCAGACATGCTAAAAGGAAGACTCCTCTGCAGAAATTCCTATGGATCCCAAAAAGTCGGAAAATTGCTGTCCTGCATTCAATGCATGTTTTGGGAGATCGCGAACATTTTAGCGCGTCCCTTTATATGCGTCCCAAAAATATCCTGCAGTCATGAAAAAATGAACCTACTGCATGGTGGAGGTGATAAACTTTCTTGATTTCTTGTGTGCAATTTTAGAGTCTTGGTAAAGCTCGGAGCGCGGGCATTGAGCAAACAGATTCGAGTATTTGCTGATTTCGTGATTCATGATTATTCTTTATTGTCAAATGGTTCTTCTGAAGATCACACGAAGGTTTGAATTATTCCTGCTTACTTTAATCTTTTGTTTATTTGTCTGTTTGCCTTGTTTTTATTATTATTATTAAAACTTTATTTATACAGGATAAAAACCGTATTCAGTATAACTAAATACTGCTATCACTAAGGGTCCTGTAACTAATACTAAGTTTATCAATCTAAATATAAAAATATGCTATACATACAATACTAAACACACAATGATACTTAATGTCTAAAAACTGTTCATAGAGCACTTTTAAAATGTACAATGGAGTTTATCTGGCGAACATGTAAAGGCAGTTTATTAAAAGCCAATAGCTCCTTGGGAATAAAAGCCTTTCCTGGCAACTTTTTCTTCCACTAAACTGAAACACCCCTATTGATACTTGGTAGATCTATCACTTTAACATGGGCGTCAATCCTGGGGGGGGGGGATTGGGGGGACGCGTCGCCCCCCAGTTTTTGAAGTGGGGGACGAATATCTAATTACCCCCCTCCTCCCCACACACGCACACTTCTTGACATGTTTAATGAAATTTTGTTTCTTGGTTATCTAAAAACCTAATGCATGGTATGCTATTCATCAAACATTGTGATTGGAAGGAAGACATTTAATAAGAAAAAGTACAACGTATGATCTTTCTGTAGTCGCTGGGAGCAAATACTGACATCGCATATATTATGTAAAATTGTAAATACTTAAAAATAATTGCGTTTTAACTGAGCTTCCCTTACATAGATGATTATCATCAAAATGGTTAATTTATTAGATTATTAGCATTAAAATAAGGGTGAGGACATGTTAGGCTTCGTCGAGAATAACGTCTGTTCACAGGCTAGGACATGTTGGTTTTTAGCGGATTTCTCACATGGTTAAACATGGATTTAAGATCATGCACATTGTAGTATAACTTTATAAGTGCCTCCACAACGCTGGGAATGCCGTTTCAGTGTAGCAAAATTTAGAAAAAAAATTCGGGTAGGATACCTCTGGACCTCCTAGTTTGGAGTCCCCCCCCCCCCACTTTTTGGGATAGATTGACGCCCTTGCACTTTAAATTGTTCTCTCTAGATGACTATAGTTATACGACTGTCCCCTACCCTACCCTACCTAAATAACTGTTGTCTCAATTGCCATGATTTTATTTATGTACTTTTTTCTGTATTTTATCAGCGCATAACTTGTCTCCATGATATGGTCTGGAAATATCACATCATTAGCATTGACAGACTTGTCTTATGTTTGGTAAGATCAATATAGAATTTTATTTTTTCTTTGTGTAAAGGTCCATACAGACAGAGCGCGATTCGACAACGTGACGCGAATTTTAATAACAAATAAAACGGTCAATGGATAAAAATGTTACAAAATATGCAGACCAAATAGCTAAAATTGCTTAAGTGGTTCCGAATTATGTTTTTTCCCACAAAATTTATTTTAGGCTTTTGTAGGGTAAACTCATTTTCGTTGCTGCGTAAATTATAATTAGTGTTATTTTTAATTTTAAACGAGTTCATCAAATTCTTTGGTAATTCATTTCTCTTCGCTTTGTACATAAATACTAAACTATTTTTTACCAATGATCAACTGGGGGCTTCCAATTTAGTTCCCTCAAAATTTCGTTTGAAGGTTTCTCGTATGATCTCCAGTTATGACCCTTGCTGCCCTGCTTTGCATTTTTTGCAACTTACTGATCAGCTGATCACTACAGTTGCTCCATACAAGGCTGCAATAGTCAAAGTATGGCAGTACTAACGCATTGTACACCATAATCAATAATTATGCCCAATGACTTCGCATGATTAACCCGCTTAATTTTTGTATCCCCAATTTCTAAGATTGGGTCTGTTTCAATAGCCGATAATCTCTGGTGTGAACCAATTATCATATATTCTGTTTTATCTTTGTTTAATGTCAATTTATTGGCCAACAACCAGTTGTGCATAAGCTCTAGCTAGGTCAAAATTTAATCGCCGTTGTAGTTCTTCTTTATTCGAGCTCGCATGGTTAGATTTGTGTCGTTCGCTCTAGTCCCCGAGCCGACGGCGCGAAACGCCGTGCGAGGGTACTAATTCCACCCGGCTATTTACACCCGGGGAAAGGGAAGTATTAGCCAAGTCTAAAGTTCATCAATGAGCGCGGGCGTCGTTCACCAACCGTGGGTGGTCATCCTCACTGATCTCAAAAATATGGCTGTTTGCCAGGAGTGGGATATAAAGCAAGATTTCAATTTTCAAAAGCATATATTTGGAAAATCACGTTTCACACAATGAGCTTTGAAGCAATTTTTGTTTGAAGAAATGAGAAGAATTAATTGATTTACTGTGGAAAATCTTGGAATATAGGGCACTAAGTTTGCTTTGAATGTTTAATGTTTATGAATTTTTCCTTTTCAATGAAGCTGTATTAAAGTTTACTAAATTACCCTGTTTAATTTAAGATTAAAAGGTAAAATGTAAAGGAGAGCAAATTCATTTTAAAACCGAACTGAAATTACTCAACAATTTGAAATTATTTTGTTTTATAAACTATATAAAAACCCGTACAGTTTTATATCGGAAAAAGCAGTTTATAGTTTAATATTAAAATGAACATTTCAAAACATTTTACGAAGCGATTCACGTTAAATTTTACATTATATCAAAGCTCACAAAATGCAGAACAACATACCTACAGTACATATTTCGGAAATTCATTGTTTTATAGTTAAAAGCAATAATCTTTCAACTATTTTTGGCGTGTTGTACAAAAAATAATAAAAATTAAATTTATCGTATCGTGTTGCCATGGCAACACTGACGTAAACGCGAGCCTGCGTTCAGTCACAGGTTCAGTGTTAATCAATTACCAATACTTCACGTTAAATCAATGTTTGGAAAATACATGCGAGGGGTTGCTGCATGCATGTATTTCTAGTATATTTTAAACAATTAGCCAAATCGTTAATGTTACTATAGTCCGACTATAGCACCTGATGTTGAATAAAATTATCATATATTTGAAACAAACGTCACATTATACAAATCTTACGTTAAAATTATCAAACTTTACTTTTAGAACCGTTTGGTTCTACGACTAAACAAAAACTAAACAAACAACATGGCCGCCCTATTTGCCATGCCAAAAATGCGTCCACTGCGCATGCGCAAGGCGGGAAAATCCATACGGTAGCTACACCGGCCCCTAAATGGGCATATACTAATAGTCCATTTACTAACTCCATGAAGGCTACCGTTCTTAACCTCTAACACAAATATAATATAAATTGTCAAATTTTGTTTAGTTCAACATGCTCATTCATAGTCCTAGCCAGGTTACTCTCCGTCCATTTCAAGCAAACACAACTTTGCCACAGGCCGTGTTAGTATCGTCGTATTGATCTTGTTCTCTCCCTTTCTTCGGTGTTTCGCTCGGGTTGATACCGTCGAACTGGTCTTTACTTTCACTGTGCGTACATAACCGTCTTTACTCGGCATAACTTCCGTCACCATTGCCAATGGCCATTGTCCTCTTGGGTAGTTTTCATCTGCTATGAGTACCAAATCTCCTATCTTTAAGTTTCTTCTTGGGATGTTCCACTTTTTTCTCTCCAGTAAGCTTGGTAAATATTATCTTATCCATCTACGCCAGAATACATTAGCAAGATACTGTGCCTGTCTCCAACTTTTTCTGCAACTCGAGACATCTTTGTCGAATATGCCTGGAGGTAAACTCTGGAGGTAAACCAACATTCGCTGTTGTCTCGACTTCAGTATCGACCACGACTGAGCTCTTCTTTAGCTTCACCTTGGCTCGAAGACATTCTTTACAGCGTAATAACCATGCAACCGAGCATTTCAACTTCCACCAGCTGGAGTGATGTGAGATCAACTTCTCCAAGACGATACATCGTACTGTGGTTGCGCAAATCTGAGCTTCCTTTCTCACTTCGGGGTCATCAGACTTCAAAACCGGGACTTGGACCATCGTAGGCCAGTGTATTTCGTCCTTCAAAAGAAACTCTGGACCATTTAGCCACCGATCATTAGATATCATGGCGTCCAATTTAACTCCCGTGGAACCGTCGTCGGCAGGGTTGTCATCTCGGTTCACATACATCCACTGGGAGGGATCAGAGCCACTACGGATTACTGTTAGGCGGTTGGATACAAAGGTGTGGAATCTCTTGCTTTCGTTGTTAATGCACTTCAGGACAGACATCGAATCTGTCCAGTAGTAAATTCTTTCTATCTCCAGGTCCAACTCTTCTTGTATGATCTTGGAAAGTCTCACGGAGATAACTGCAGCGGTTAGTTCCAATCTTGGAATTGAAATCTCTCGTAAGGGAGCAAGCCTAGCCTTTCCCATAACAAACGCGCAATGAATCTGTTCATTGGTATCTTCTAAACGGAGGTATGCAACTGCCGAGTAGCCAAGTCGCGAGGCGTCTGAGAAGAGGTGTATCTGTATTTCCTTGACGACGCCAAATCCAACGGGTTTGAAACAGCGATCTACACGTATTGCTTGTAACTTTGGAAGGTCAGCCAACCATCGTTTCCATTGCGCCTTCTCGTTTTCTTGAAGTGGATCGTCCCATCCAACTCCCTTTCTACATAACATCTGTAGCAACAACTTAGCTTTCATTGCGTAGGGTGCAATAAACCCCAAAGGATCGAAGAGTGAATAAACAGCTGATACGATCGCTCGCCGAGTGACCGAAGCTTCGTTTACTAATTGCAACATTTTCTCCGAGACATCCCACTCAAATTTATCTTCTTCGGTATTCCACTTGATGCCAATAGCGCTTTCGGTAGGCAGCCGGTTCAATTCTAAATCTTTCACAGATTTGGCTCTTTCTGTTTCGGGAATCGTTTCCATCACCTCTCTGCTATTACTGTACCAGTTTGTGAGACGGAAACCGCCCTTTTCGAGTAGATGGCGCAGTTGAATCACTAAGCCTATTGCCTCGCTTGTTTCCTTCGATATTTCATCAAATCGTCGACATACATATTACGTTTCACCGTCTCTATAGCCACAGGGTTAAATTCATCTTGATGTAACTCTGCTGTTTTACGCAAGCAGAAATTAGCAACACTAGGCGAAGACGTAGCCCCGAATAGGTGTCTTGTCATTCTATATTCCTCCATCTCGCCAGAAAGATCTTCGCTCGGCCCTTCGGATCTTCGAACATTGCTTCTAAATCTGCAACCATTGCAACAGATTCTTCTCGGAATCGGATAAGCACGCCAGTCAGTTGATTTGTTTGATCTGGACCTTGCAAGAGCTGTTGATTCAACGACGTTCGCCCATAACTTGCTGCACAATCATATACCACTCGAACCTTTTCGGGCTTCAGGGGATGCGTAACCGGGTGATGCGGGAGGTACCAGATTGGTCTGTTCTCCGTGTCCAATTGCTCTTTAGGGATTTTCTCAGCGTAACCCTTTTCTAGGTACTCATTCAACGTTGTCCGATACCTTTTCAACAGTTCGTCATCGCGGAGGAGGCGTTTTTCAGAAGCAAACCCCGTCTTTCTGCTACCATCTTGTTATTGGGCAAATATGGTGGATTATTTCGCCATGGCAGAGCAACTTGAAAATGACCGTCCACTATCTTCAGTGTTTTTTCCATTATTTGTAGCGCTTTCTTATCTTCCACCGACGGGCACACTTTGGTTTCGACCAGAGAACCTTCAAAGTCTGTTTTCCACAGCCTTTCTAATTGGTGTTTTAGATCTTCATCCGTGTTTTCACGATCAACTTGAACACGTTCAACTTCTTTAACTTCTCCAGTTCTATCCTTCATTACATGCTCACTTTCTTCCATGGCACGGTCTTCTGTGAGAAACTCACTCGCTTCCTTCAGACTTTCAAACGTGCGATCTTCAGTTGAAAGATCATCAGCGTTGACAGACATTCCAGCAAAATTGGATGTCGCACACATGCCATCCATTTTTTCACCAACGGGCCCAATCACCGTCCAAACCAAACTGTATCTGATTGCCACAGGATCCCTTTCTTCTCCAGATCGATATTCCAAAGGCAAAAACATGGAAGGGTTCTCTTGAAGTCCAATGACCAACATAACATCTCTAGTTTCCAACTCTTGTAATGGCAGATCACGTAAATGAGACCAACTTCGAACGTCTCCTTTCTTTGCAATGCAGGCTTCCGAGATCGGCATTTGATTGACAGTTCTAACGTTTGACAACTCGATCAGTATCTCACCATCCAGTGAGGCCACCTCAATGTCTATCAATTCACTTCTTACTTTGGTCGATCCGGTCATGCCTGACAATGTGAAGTCCAGCTTCCTTCCGCTTGCTGCAAGTTGTTTCTTCAAACGTTCATGGCAAAGCGTAACTTCAGATCCACTGTCTAAGAGTGCATAAGCTCCAATGGCGGGTTGATTACTTCCCTTTGCTCGTACTTTAAGAGGAACAACACTTAAGCACACTCGTTCGCCGGCCCCAGTTGCGACTGTTACTTTCACTTCTTGTTCTCTTGTTCCGCCAGTTGTTTCAATTGGGTCTGGAGGTTTCTGGTCTTCCTTTTTTTCCTTAACAGCAGCTTCAGGTTGCGGTGGGTGTAACAATGTGTTATGTCCTTCACTGCATCCTTCTACCAGACATTTAAAATGAATGTTAGGACATTTTCTTGCGTAATGGCCTTCACTGAGACACTTAAGACAAAGTTCTCGTTGTTGCACAACTTTCTTCTTCTCTTGATAGGAAAGTTTCTTGAACTTATCGCATCTCCAAATTCTATGGTTGCCAGAACATATCGTGCATCGTATCGAATTCCCACTTCCGTTCTTATGACTCTGTCGATTATCCAAGGCGGATGCAAATAAAGATGATCTTCGGGAGGGTTCTCTCGGTCCATCTTTTCTCCTCACATTTTCCTTCTGTTTAACAAGACTCGCACAAAGCTCTTCCCCAAACTCATTGTTTACAAGCGTTGCTCTTTTCTTCACGAAGTGGAGGAAATCTTTAAACTTGGGTCTAGAGCCAGATTCAATCGTCGTACCGGCACGCTCTGTCCATTTTACTCGCAGGAATAATGGCAGCTTCCGAGTTAACTCTCGCAAGGTGTTGACATGATTCAACTCACTTTCATATTCAGGCCCCATACTTGTCAACGTTCTATCTGCAACCTCTAAGTGCCTGGAAAACTCCAGCAAACTTGCTCCATTGGCTTGTTTCAGTGGTGGTAAGTTCTGCAACTTGTTAATATGTGCTTGTGCTATTATGTGCGGTTTCCCAAAGTTCTCATACAGCGTTTTCTTTGCAGTTGTATGTCCTTCTTCAGCTGGTAAGTTTACACAACTTTCAATTGCATCACGGGCTTTATTATTGCAGTGTTGAATCAAGAGTTGCAAACGAGTGGAATTATCAGGGTTGTCCTTTTCTAGGCATGTTTCAAAATTATGCATGAAGGAAGCATAATTTATTGCTTCACCGTCAAAGTGCATGTACTTAATTTTTGGCATAGACACGACTTGTCGCAGTGCTCTCACCATCTCTTCCCCTGTACCTATTTCTTTAACTGCGGGTTGTTGGACCTTCCCTTCGGGTAAATATGTTCTAGGAATCTGCGATAAAGGTATATTAGGTGACTGTAGGGGTTGTTCGTACTGAATATACGTCTGGGTGGGTTGCAATGGCATATTACACTGTTCGACTTGCCTTTCGGGCGAATATACCTTAGAAACTTGGGGTGAAGATATATTAGTCCCTTGTACTAATTGCTCTTGTGGTACATACGGTTGTGAAAGGGGTGATAGTCCTTGCCCTTGTTGATTCATTGAGAGTGTGTTTTTGTTAACATTTTCATGCTCAGAATTGTTATCTGATTCTTTCTCATAAACATTCAAACTTACGATTGCTCGTTCCTCTTCCATTCGGGCTTCCATATATTCTTTCTCGAAATTCAACTCTGTCATTCTTCGTTCGAGTTCGTGCTGTTTCAGTAGTTGGCTTCAACTGAGCGAGCGCTAACTGTTCTTTCCTTTTTGACACAGTTGAAAATTTTGAACTGTGACTTGACTTACTTGCCAAACTTCGTCTTGATTTTCCCGAGAATGAACTAGCATCTTCTCCCTTTTGTGTTGACGCTAGCATTAGTCTCCTTCGTAAAGACATCACCATTTCATCCAAATGCATTTTTTTAGTCATCAGTTCTTTATAACTTCGACTTTCAATATCCTTTTCCTCTTTGCTCACGAGTAACTCCATGTATTGTTCGTGCTTGCTGACAAATTCTCTCCAACATTCATCGTAATGCTCTTTCTTTGTCTTGATATTATCCACTGGTTCACCAGCATAAATTGCCTCCTGTATCCATCCTTTCGTCTCTGTGAGGGTGTTCATTAAGTGTATATGAGTCTTAAACAAAGCATTTATCTTCTCCTTTTCCATTTCTTCTTTTTCTAACCGAACACCTCTCCATGTTCCTTCAATGCATCTTTGTCCAGGCTCGGACCTGGCTGGGTTAACCTCAGTTGGTTCCTTCTGAAGTGCTGTCGGACACGATCGCACAGACATTACTGTTGATCATCCAGTATGAGTTATAACACAAATGTACCCAGAAAATATTTTCCTGAATAAAATTAACAACTTATATTCCCTGACAATAAATATAGTCCAAACTCACCGTCCTCGACAATATCTATACTCCAATATTCTGTTCAAACAAGAATACCATGTATAATACAAATACACTGTCCCAGACGATGTAAATTATCCTTCAAGTGAAATATATAACTTCAGGTGAAATTTAATCCAAAATACTCGTTCCTAACGAGAAGATATACGTCTTTGATGATAAATATACTTTACAATAACCAGATCTTGAGTAAATATAGTCAGATATAACCGTTCTAACGATAAAATATAGTTCCAAGGCACCGTCCCTGACGATAAAATATACTTGAATATAAACCAGATCTTGAAGTGAAATATAATCCAAAATAACCCGTTCCTAACGAGAAAACACAGTTCAAATGCACCGTCCCTAACCATATAAATATACTCGAAATACACCGTCTTTGCCGAGAAAATATACTCAAACTAACCCGTTCCTAACGAGAAGATACCGTATAATTCAAATTCTCCGACTCTGACGATCAATATACACTTAAACTAACCAGAAATACAATCCAATAAACTTGTACTTGCCACAAATGTACACTCCAAATAAACTAGTCCAAATATCGATCCAAACTCGTAGAAATATGGTTCTAAACTTTTACTATAGTCCGACTATAGCACCTGATGTTGAATAAAATTATCATATATTTGAAACAAACGTCACATTATACAAATCTTACGTTAAAATTATCAAACTTTACTTTTAGAACCGTTTGGTTCTACGACTAAACAAAAACTAAACAAACAACATGGCCGCCCTAGTTGCAATGCCAAAAATGCGTCCACTGCGCATGCGCAAGGCGGGAAATTCCATACGGTAGCTACAGTTAATATAAAGAAGGAATAGCAGAGGACCCAGGTTTGACCCCTGGAATACTCCACTACGATTTTTTTTGCGGCTGCGCATTGTTTTTCAAAAATTGAATTTTTTAATGACATCGCAACTGACATTCTTTATTTAGTTCATATTCCCTCAGAAATTAATAATCTCATGGGTTGGTTCATACATCATAGAGTTTGCGATTCTTCCAGCCACCTTAAACTCTTAAATCACTCATATAAATATACGTCGGAGATTATCACCCTCACACGGGCTCGCAGCGGCGGACGAGGAGACAATATTTCCATGATTAAAAATCCTGAGCCTACAACGCGCATGGTTTCCCACACATATTTTTTATAATAACAAATAAACCAAAAAGGAAAGCCTAAATATACTAATTTCAAGACGACATTACACAAAAGGGATCGAGAGTATGTACTGCGGATTTCGATTTACCGTTTCAGGGCTTCCGTTTCCGGTGATTGTTTTTCCGTTAAAACGAACAAGTTGCTAAGGGCCAATGTCAATGTTACTAAGTGAAGTCTAGTGGTCTTTGTCCGTTGTTTTCTTATCCGTTGCTTATCAATTGTGAATGTAACTGTTATATTCGTATTTATCTCGTCATTGGCAACATTTTGATATATAATTTACGAAGCTTTGTGGATCATTTCATGTTTTTATTGATATTTTGGAAATTGTAGCGTGTAAAAGGCCAGTAAATAATTTTGAAGCCTTTTATACGCTACAATTTCCAAAATATCAATAAAAACATGAAATGATCCACAAAGCTTTGTAAATTATATATCAAAATGTTGCCAAAGACGAGATAAACACGAATATAACAGTTACATTTACAAATGATAAACAACGGACAAGAAAACAGCGGACAATTACCACTAGACTTCACTTAGTAACATCGACATTGACCGTTAGAAACGTGTATGTTTCAACGGGAAAACAATTACCGGAAATTAAAGCGCTGAAACGGTAAATTGAAATCCGCAGTAAATTGCCTATTCCTTTTTGCGTTGGAATTACTCCGAGAAATTAATTGTCAATTACTTACGATTTTGAAGCTGTTATACTTTCCTCTGAATATGTGTACATATATACTGTAGGTTCAACTTTATAACAACTGATTTCTATTCCTAGATGTTACGATACTGCGAGTCAAAGGAAGCGCAAGTTTGCAATCTTTTGTTACGTTTTTTGTTGTTGAAGATTCCTGCATTTAGGGACAGAATTCACACATTTGTTCAAGAGGTAAGCGGCTGCATTATACCGTATATGTGGTTTCGAGTCATGTAAGTGCCAACGTAATCTCTAAGGGGATGATACTTTTATATCTTCTTCAATCTTCGTAAATCCTTTGTTTAAATTGATATCAGGTTCCACCAGATTACTGGAAACACTCAGACTGGCATCAAAAACACCAAGCTTATCACCAGGTACAAATTTCAATACATATACAAGGTGCTAGGATTGTGGTAAATGAATATGCCTTTCACTGCGATTTCAAAGTTGTGATATGCACTATGCAGTTGTCTCATGATTTTTCTTGAAATTCAATACTCGAAAAAGAATTGGATGAACATGACCTTTTTGTCCTGGTGATTAGATTTGCTAAAAAATAAAAATCAGCGCCATCTGACTGTGAGTTGGGAGTAGGGACGTAGCTACATTCTCTTGGAAAATAAAACGTGCCATCATGATTTTGTAAGCTTATCCCCCTAAGGCTTATCCCCGAAAGCATTACGAGGTTACGTTACGCCCCCCCAGTTATTACTCAGTTTTGGAAGAATTACATCAATAGCCGGTTCTGATTATTACGTATTCTGAATATACAACTACCATGATACTTTGCGGGTATTTTCTTCAGTACGCAATAACACGTCCGAAAAGCATACTGGTAGTTGTATTCAGAATACGCAATAAGGGGAACCGGCTATTGGTCCAGAAGACAAGTGTTGGGGGGACCTTCCATTCTACCCATGGCTACGTCCCTGGTTGGGGAATTGCATAGGCGAATGGGCTTTGATTTGCGGGGAGTGCAGAGAACATTTCTCACCAACTGAAACTGAGACTACCTGACTTTTGATACATCAACCTCCCCCCCTCCCCCGTTTCCGACACCCGTTTAGCAACACAAAAATCTTCGAATAAATGTGCTAATTAGGAAATGCTACGCTACGATACGGTTAAAGTGGAAAACAGCCTTATGTCATATTATTTTTGTGCAATGTATATTGCAACTTTCTAATTATCGAACGATTGTTCTTTTCGAACTGTTCGAGGCATTTTTCACACTCACTAACTAAATTGGTACTTGTTCGTTTTTAGTGTATATATTTCTATTTTTATACTGTTTAAACGTGGTGAATGAAATATATTTTTTATTCAGGATCCCAACTGAAAATCACGTTTGGGATGAGGGTTTATATATTAACTACAGTGAAACACGCAATTTGATTGGTCAATAGCCGTGCAGGATCAGGCTATCCTGCACGAGGAATTAAAATGCCTTCGCGGGATTCTCAAAATGTCATTGTATCACTGTAGTTATGTAGTTATTAAAATCAAATGGTTTTCCATGCAGGATAGCGTGATCCACGCACTTGGGATGTTGCTTGACTTTCGGAAAGCGTAAAAATACACTCGCCTGCGGCTCGAGTATTTTTACGCTTTCCGAAAGTCTCGCGACATCCCTCGTGCATGGATCACCGAGTCCTGCACGGAAAACCATTCGGTATTCCTTTAATCCTGGATAAATATAACTTTTATTATTATTATTATTATTATTACTATGTTCCATGACTTGTTGCTAGATGCATCAACATTATCCCGCCTTAACCCGTCCCATCTCGGCAAAACTTTATAACAAACGTACTTGCAGGGAGGTGAGTCCGGGATTGGACGCACCGAGGGTGGCTGGAAGTTTCCCGAACTTACCGAGCGAAGCGAGGTGAGTTCGGGAAACTTCCAGCCACCCGAGGTGCGTCCAATTCCGGACTCACCGAACCTGCAAGTACGTTTGGTTTTTATCCCATACACCGAGCCATACACACATTTGTAGCTCTTCGCGATATATTTGTCGATGTTTTGTGAACATTTTCCCGGCCAAAAAAATCACTGGGCAAGAAAATACTTCTTTATCTACGTCTACATTACCTTTACTGCATTTTTCTTTGGTTTTTCTTCAGTCTCAGTATGTTAGTCACCGAAAAAAGTTCTTTAAAGTTTAGGTTTATCGGCTAAATCTTGTCCGCCATATTTGTTATTGTTATTGCAACGTAAGCAGTTTAGCGGGTGAGTTTGGGCGAAAAGCAGGTGAGTTCGGCAAAAAGCAGGTGAGCTCGACGACAAGCTCACCTGCTCTAAACCAATCAGAAAGCCGCTTTTAACACAGGTATGGGATAAGATCTATGGCCCTAAAAAGGTCCTTAAAGTTTGGGCGAAAGCCAATCAAAATCGCGTATTTTAGAGTTAACTACCTCTATGATTTTTACTATCCTTTTTTATTAGAAATGGGGAGAAAAATTTTACTTTGAAGGTCTTCGTGAAGCGACCAACGCCAGCTCACATAACGTTGCATATCTTCCTATTAATTTTGGCAATGTTTGCTTGCGATTCCTTCCAGTAAGTCAAGTTATTTATAGTTCTTTTGTTATTTTAAGGCCCATTTACACGATACGACTGTCATTCTACATATGAAAACAAATACTCACGTCCCTATTGCTGACATCTTTACACGCATTTGGTCGAGAACATAGCCAGGATAAGATCGTATACGAATAGTCGTATTGTGTAAATGGGCCATCAGGACCATGACTACCATCGGTATGCGCGCCTTATTCAAGGACAAGCGATGGTAAGGAAATGTTCAGAGGTCGATAATTTGGGGACAGCTGCCACCGATGTTCGAAGGCACATAAGAAACGAAACAAGGCAGGCACACTAAAAGTTTTAGAAAGAGAAAATATGGAATAAAATGTACAATTTATAATTTCTAGTCTATTAAAGTCTTTGTTCCAGACCCGGGTTCAATCCTTGGTTGAACCTTTTCTCAAGATCTTAAAATAATTGAAGAGAAAGTGCTACTTTTTTATTGACATCAGTAAATGGTTAGATTTTCGCCTCTTCTTGGATAAGGACGTCAAAAATCCTGGGTACCTCGGATCCCCTAGCTGTTGGGGAATCTGCTCAAGAAATAATAACTAAACCTGGCCTGCTTGGGGGGCTGGCTCGCCCCATACAAACAGCCCCTATATAATTGATGTATGCTGTTGTGGTGAGCGTGCCATTAATAAATAAATAAATTGTGAATATACTGCTGAAGATGAATCGAAATTGATGCGAAATATACAGTTTACATAGATTGTTTTGAGTGTTCATGCACTCTCTTTCAGGGGTAACATTGGTTTTATATTTTGGGAAACTATATCAGCCGGTCAAAGGATTCCAGGACTTATAATATTCCAAAGTTCACGTAAAAATAGCGTTGTCATTTTATATTTTTTTCTCAAACTGTAGGTACTTGACGTGGTAATACATCGGTTTATTGAACTACCTCCAGTAAGTGCAGGTCTTGAAAGTCTTCTACACAACTTTGGTGCATTATATAAATTTCATGGTGAGTAAAACTATAATACACGTTAAATATTGCTGTATTGCCTCTATAATTTAATTTCTTCCTTTACTACCACCATCCATCTTTGCCCGCGCCAGGCCTAACCCTCCTTGAAATAAAGGAAGGAAGGAATGAAAGATGGCGCGACTGTATTCATAGCCATAAATTACGTCGACGTTTTTCCATTCTAATGTATTTGTCTCGAGCAAAATCGGTTTACCCGTCAAGAATGGTCATGTATAACTCATAAAAAACCCCCATAAAATTGTCAAACAGTTTAAATGCGCGATGAAATACGGCAAAAAAACGATCGTATTTAGCCCAAATATACCCGCGTCTTCATCTCTGCAAAAACGGCAAATCGTTAAGAAACTCAAACCTGATTGGAAAACGAACTAAGCCACTCCCAGCGGATAAAATATTTGAGTATGTTGTTGGACAACGAATTAATAAATAAATAAATAATTGCATACAAAATGCTCCTGAATGCGCATGAATTAAAGTGGGTAAGAGTTACGCCAACATGTCATTCACGGCGACAACTAGTTTTGAGACAATATTTTCAAATATTAACAGGCGACGTTCTTGGGTGTATGAAACAATTTTCATCTTGATTTCTGGTGTATGAAACAATGATGCATCAAACAATTTTCATTTTGACTTCTTTGAACGACGACCTTTTCTTCCCTCTTGAGATTCTGCTCGTGTTGTGAATGTATATAATTCTGGTAAATATAACCCCCCCCCCTCCCCACCCCACCCTCCCTAGGCAAAGTCCTGGCAACGGCCCTGGCTGCTTGCAGCAAATACCACAACAATCACGCAGAACTAAACGCAATATCATTTGACACTCCATTCAGTGAGATTGTCGGAACCAACACAGGACACAGTGTCCAATCTATAGTGGAAGAGCAATTCCCACCTAATCGCAAGCTTCACAAAATGTTTAACTGATACACAATTCAGGTCAGTTATACTGTTATAGTTCCATGAACAATGTCAAAGCTTGGTCTGGCCACTACTGTTGTAGTGGCCAGACCAAGCGCCTTTCACCTCTGAGTTCGTGGGTTCGATTCCCGCAGGGACTCATGCGTAAAGAGTCAGTCAACGCTCTGCCAATCTCATTCCCAGAGTATGCCTGTTCGCGGGTTATGTACATACGCTCTGCCGAAAGTTGTGGGTTTTCTCTGGGTGCTCCGGTTTCCCCCCATGCACAGGGAGAGTTGACAGGACGAGTTAGCACAATTGTTGTAAAGATAAAACAATCTAGTAATTAGGTAAGCGTAATCCTTGACGTGAAGCGCATTTGATCATATCCACATGTAATTTGCGCTATAGAAATGGTAATCGCCAACGATAATGCACACATAGTTTGGAAAAACCAGCGTCACGAAACGTCACGACCTTTAGATCTCTATTCTGTGACACAGCAAAGACGCAAGCAGTTGCAACTGTATGAATTTCGGTGCTACGTTATTGGACGGCATAGGAACATATATGTCCACTTCAAGAAAAATGTGTAAATACTACACACGTAAAAATCTCACAACTTGTCAACAAGATGTGTTCGTAACAGGCTTGTAGCAAGCTTGTCAACAAGTTGTAACAATGCTGTTATTTTATCAAGTTGCTACAAGCTTGTCACTCACAACTTGTTGACAAATTGTTGAATTGCAGGACGATAACAAGTTGTTGGAACAACTTGTGACAAGTCTGTTGAGCTCAACAACCTTGTAGCAAGTTGCGAACAAGCCGTTGAAAACTTGTCAACAAGCTGGGAACAAGCAGTGCGAACACATCCTGTTGACAAGTTGTTGGAACAGCATTGCTACAAGTCTGCTGCAGGTTTGTTACAACTTGTGCGTTTTTACGTGTGTACTCAATGGTTTACGGGTTACCGTTAATTTTGTGTGCTGTATGCGTATCAATCTTGCGATAATTGCTTCTGTAGACAAATTTATATCAATAGCAAGGCCACACTGTAAGTTTCAAAGAGTTGAATCAATTCCAAAAGTGTTCTTGGAAAATCCTCTAAGAGGAAAATCAGATACCGATGCGTCAACAGATGTAAGTAAGACGTGACACGTGACAGAAGTAAGACGTGACAAACACTTCATTATTTATGGTTTTATTATTACATCTCGGCATAAAATCTGCATGTAAACTGATCTTTTCAATAATGCATGTGTATATTCTGAGCTATATTTATCAGTTATAGACCCGGAACGAGGGAGAGAGATGAAATATATGCTCAGGGTATTTTTTGGGCGAGTGAAAGGTCTAGAAATGATATATTAAACCGAACCTTGTAAGGCTTTTTTTAATTGAACAAGATACCAGGAAACAAATAGCATTCATTTATTATATTTTAAATATTTACTAAGTTTTAATTTGTAAACACAAGTTTTGTTAATTACGGGAACCACTCAGTATTAAAAGAAAATACAAAATAACAGTAACTCCGAATAACATTTTGATTTTTAATCGACGTTTCGACTAGTTTGTAGTCATCTTCAGGATTAATAATCCTGAGGATGACTACAAACTAGTCGAAACGTCGATTAAAAATCAAAATGTTATCGGAGAAACTGTTATTTTGTAAGTTTTGTTAAATTTCATTATTATAATTAACAGGAAATACTTTGAATTTACCGCGTTCTTGCTGCCAAATAACCTCCTAGATTCATTATTTTTAATTCCTGTTTATCCTATTAAAGCCAATTTCCACTCAGTGCAAAATGTCGCGAGATCAACCTTTTGCGATAACTTTCTTTTGAAATGTGTTCAGTCAACCACATCCGTTGCGTTTGATTGCTTGTATTTCTAAAGAAAGTGATCGCAAAATGTCGACCCCGTTTCTATGCGCACATGTACTAGATAAAACATGAGCAGCCGGTCTTTATCTGATATACAAACTCGAGCCGAAGGCGAGAGTTTGTATATTAGATAAAGATCGGATGCGATCGGTGCTTAAAAAACGATCGGTGCTTAAAAAACGACCCATCTTATGAGTTCATTGGCGAAGTAATTTTAAAAATAAACAGGGTCTAACCCGAGAAAATCAAAGCTGAAGTTTATGTAAATCATGACAAATCTTTGTCCGATTTACAAACATTAATTAAACTTTCATTTCTTTTGTATTTTCCTCGTGAATTATTAATGCATTTTTTAAATCATGATATTGATATGATAATGTTCACTCTTCTAGATCGTCCAATCACGTACCTGTACAACACGCTGTACTACTACAATCATATGTTGAATCAAAGACAGGCTTCAAGAAAGAAACTGGTCAGCGTCGTAATTGGTTAGTAAAGTTAAGCTGTTTTAGTCGGCTACAGATAAACCAATAAAAACAACTCGCATATATACTTCGAAATATAATATAGAACTTTATTTGCTTGCACAATTTTCAGGCAATGTTTTGTCAACCGCATGTGTATAATGTATAATATACGCCGAAGATACAATGGATGAAAGCAAGTGAATCAGTTCATTACGAAACTCCGTAAACGGTACAAATAACACACTGGTAGTTGAGCGCGATTGAATATAAATGAAAAACTCACCGTATTTATTCTGTATTTTGTCAATTTCTGCTTTATTCTGTGGCCACAGCCCACGAGAAACAGAACACGAGGAAAAGGAATTCTAAACCGGTCTGACGTTTTTTATATTTATTAAGCGCGCAAAGCAGGTTGGAGGATTATAAGACAATATAATGCTAATGAGGAGCTACGCAGTGCACGTGAGTAAAAAACGCCCACATGCAACTATATATAACAAACTGATAAACTAATATGCAAATAATAATATTGCGATCAGAAAAACGGGGAGGAAGAAATTGACTTTAATCAGAAGTTCACCTTGCGCTACCAAAGCGAAGAGCAGAATGAACCAGATTTGCATTCTGCTATGAAAATATCACCACTCACACCCGTTTTCCATGTTCTAGCTGGTACACGAATTGAAAGTAAAATACACGCCGTGCCTCCACAAAACACATAATTTAGTTTTTAAACATGAGAAACTTCACGAAATAAAGTATGAAAAAAAAACAACTCCATATTAAAAAGTTTCAGAAAACAAGAAGGGGAAAATTTCATCAGTAATATTTTGAATTTGTTACAAATTTATTGCATTAAACGTTTTTATATTTTAGGCGCTTTTGCAAACATTCGTCCTCCCAATTGGTAAGTTGTAACAGTCTAATTTTACGTACTTTGTCCTGCATTACCTATCAGTTCTGATATGAGGCCATTCATACGAGAGTGCAATGTCTACGATGAGTACGATGTCTCGGAAGACGAAATTTTGTGTACAACTCACGCAGGAATTTTTGGGGTGATCAAAATCCAGAATGGACTTTTCAACATATTGTGCGGTAAAAAATGCCTCATGATGAGACAAGTAAACACCCATTTTTGCACTTCTAACTCCCTGATATCCCATACCTAACAAAAAGATATTGGACACTTCAATTTTTTGCATCTTTTACTGTTCATTCAAGGTGTTTGTCAAATGTGTTTTTGGAGAATTTGAATACTGATAGTGAATGGAAACCAAACCTAGAATACTATTGTGGAATGGTGGGAAGGCTAGTTGACAGTATCCTTTTGCTACGACAATAGTTATGCACGTCATTTAAGCCTTTTGCCAATCGGGTTCCTTTAATATGTCATTCATCATACACGGCATTTTGTTATTGTGATTTTTCTACACCGAAAGTCGTGTTGATTAAACAGTGCAGTACGAGAGATATTTACAATCACTGTAATAAATATCCGAGTGCATGATATATCTTCTCACGTGATCCAGTATTTGAAGAGAATCCAACACGATAGTTGCATTTGGCGGCTTTCACCAAGAAGTCACGTGATCGTAATTTGTTTAAAAGTATGTGTGCATTTATAGTACGAGATAGCCATAGTCTAAATGCCTTGTGTGCTTTTATTCATTTAATTTTATCGTAAGAAACTTTTAAATGGGGTTTATACTTTTCCATGCGTGTACGTACGTATGAAAAACGCTTGGTATAACCGATCACGTGACTAATATAAACGTTTTAGTAACATTTATACCTAAGACTTTGAAAGGCCGATATACATTTTATCCTTAGCAATATATAGCAATTTCTGGCAATTCGCCTTTCCCCGCTTTTGATTGGCGTTTTCATGAATTCCCAAGTCCATCAGCGCATGCGCTGTACGCTACATGTGTAGAGCTAATGTCTCTTCCTGTAAATGACAAAGACATTGGTAAAGCTTTGTTCTCAATTTTATATCAATGGTAAGTATACTTGAGATGCCTCGATACACTGAAGGAATATGTTACCACATGTTACCCAGCCACTCGTTAGCATTTGATATATATTTTGCTTCAGCAGTCAATCGTATATATATTCGATCGACTTATTAATTATTATGCCATACCATTGCGCGTGATGCATGGCACCGGATTTAAACACCATGATGTTCATAGTAAAAATTTGCTTTGTGAACATAAGCATATCTCAATCCAGATTTCAAGATGCATATTTACCAAGATGCATGTCCTAATTCTGAAGAAATGTGTGCTAGTCGTTCCCCAGTTGAATCTGCTCACCTGAATTATGTGACCGTTTTGAAGTACATCAAGTCATTCAGCGTATTTTAGTCGCTAACATTGTTAAAATATTTTTTAGTGCCGAAACGAGTCGAGGTTTTGAAATCTTGAACAATTCCAGGACTTGGATAAATGCCATTGCTTTAATACTTTCTTCGTTGCCTGTAAGTATATCGTATGGTACTATTTGTAATAGCGTTCATTTCTGAACAGGAAAGGCATGGACAGGAGCAGGGCATTGCAGATGGAAACTGCAGATGGAAACCATCGAGTGGAAACTAACATATATTCATCAGATCCAATCAGAAACAGAAGCGAAAATGCAACTCTAAGTCCCCGCAGGAATCGGCCGTGCGACTCCAGCGCAGCGCCCCCAACCAACCAACCCAACCACAGAGGTCAGTCGTCGAGATCTAACCACCTAGAGTTGCATTTTTCGCTTCTGTTCCTGGTTGGGTCTGATGAATGGGTGTAAGTTTCCACTTTCTATTTACAATTATTTTTATGTACTTTCTAGGAATCCTACTGCAAAGTAGTACCGCAGCTGATCTCAGAAGCATTAACCAATGATCTTGCAGTAAAAGATGTTACTCCAATAACGGCTACTTTAATGCCAGAAAACATGGTGACGCCATCATCGTTTTCGTATTCATTCTATAGTTTCCAGTCGAACGCAGCCGCCTGTTCTCTCACGCTGCCTGACTTAGTTGTGGCTTTCGCAAATGCAGTTTGGTATCATTCTAGTTTGGGACATCTCTCGCTTATACCTGGGTAAGCTGAAATTTTGTTATCTGGTGAAGTATATTGATCCTGTCCTAGACTGGATCAAAATTAATTCACCTAACTTTAAGTAGTCATTTATTCGTATTGTCATGTCAGATTCATCAAATCCTCCAATTCGGACTGGACCACTGATCTAGAAATACTTAACCGAACTGGACTAGATGACAGTCAAGTCCTCGCATTTTGATCACTCCCCGGCTTCAACTCGGATTTGATCAAATTGTGCGGACTTGAAATCTAGTCCAATCCTCATAGTCGGATTTGAAATATTGTACAACTTACTAACCGAGAGTGAGGGCTGTACAAGAAATCTTCCTGTACAGCCTGAACACTCGAAGTTAGTAATTTTATTATTATTTATTATATGGACAATGGTGTTACTGGAAACTAAAACACTCGCAGAACTCATATGCCACTGCATCTGGGACCAGATGCGGGTCTTTTCGTATTTCACGCTTGCGAGTGACATACGAAAATTTCCCGCCGTTTTCATTGTTGTTGTTTTGAGAATACAAATGGTCTTTGGTTCGTATATAGAACGAATTTAACGTTGGAAATAAAACGAAAACATTTAAAAGTTTGATATTGCCCGTGGAAATACGAGAAAATCCTGCACGCCACCAGCCAATCAAATTGCGCGATTGTCAAAAACAAATTTTACACACTTACAAAAAACACACATACGTACAATATAATTTAAAGGTTTAGTTTGCTTTTGTACTGTATATTGCTGGAGAAATTTGAAAATATTTTGATTTTCAGAAATATTCAATGTCACAGAACCAAACATAAAATAGGTACTTTTTGAAAATCTGACAACAGATGTTTATATATAGTCATCACAAAAAACGTGTGCAGCACTCGCGAGTGCTGACCATGACCTACTGGCATGCATGAATATTCTAATTTAGTCATGCTTCTTGAAAATAATTAACGGTATGTGGTGTCAGTATATATCACATGCCGAATGCGTCTCGCTGCCGTTTCTTCTAGGAAAATTCATAGTACATCTAATGACGATTGTATAAGTCTAATTCTTCTCTTTGGAAGAACGGCAACTTTTCTGCCATCATGCCAATCTCGTACCCAGAGTATGCATGTTTCATCAGTATCTTTTAGCTCTTTTTAGACACGGCCTAGTACTAAACTATCGTGACGCTCTAAAAACTTATATGACACAGAGGATTGGAGAACTTGGAAGTCTGCAGATGACAAATCGTCATGCGAAAATGCAGTTTTGTAGGCCAAAAAGTAGCGTCCTACAATTTCATGGAAATATTTGTAGGCCAACTTTTCAGTCAGCTCTAAACACTCTGAATCCCTTGCCGAATGGCTGTTCAGAGAAATTTCTCGACAGAGAAAGAAACATGCACAAACACCAAACAGTCGAAAATATCTCGAAATTCAAAACTAAAATTCAAGATTTTGTAGGTCAAAAGTGTAGTCCGTTGAGGTCGAAACTAGCATGGCCCTACAATGTTTGAAATTAATTGTAGGCCAGAAAGATTAATTCACACCCTGCATGATAACTATAATGATTTGGTTTATTTGATGGCTATACTGTATGATGTGTTCTATATAAAAGCTATTCATATATATGTATACGAAAGCTAATGGAAAATCTCATTCTATATATGCATACCAAATAAAATTTCTTTCTCCTGATTATTTTTTGTATCGTCTGTTTTAGGTTACTCAGGGATACTTTCAAACCTTTGATCCAAAATGAGGCACAATTTTTGTTTGCTTGCCGTTTGTTAGGGCCATTTCTATTTCGCTTTTATTCAGAGAAACCAAGATGTCTACTCGAGGTAGGTCAATGCAGCGTTTGGAAATGTAATGAATGTTAGAATGTGCACACTAAACGTGTTTCAGCTTACAAAAAGTCCGGATATGGCACTTACTCCATCTCATATTGAATATACAGTCTTTGAAGGTCTTTCTCTGACGATATTTCAGCATGCAGATATGCTGAAGAGAAAAAACGATTTCTATAATTCTATAGCAGAAGGCGTGACCGGCGAGGTAAAAAAAGTGAAAAGTGGCCGGTGAACAGGCATTTCTGGCTGTTCAATTATTTTTGCTTCACTCTCATGGCTAAGAATAATTTAACACAACAGTTTATGATCAATTCAAACCCATCATGAAACAAATTAAATCATGATACATAGTTATTCGAAAGCTTACATAAATCACTACCAGTATCTTTCTTACTGAAGTCATAATTAGCTTGAACAGCGTCAAAATCTATGAATTTCGATGGGGGAACTGGATTCATAGATGTACTTGTTGTCGTTCCATATATGCCATTGTTAAAACTAGAAAGAAAAAATATTTAAACATATTCTAAAATGTTAGAAGAAGTGCTTCAGCCAGGACTCGAACCCACGAGATCGTACACCACACACACACACGGATTGCATCCGCAAAAAATACATTTTATATTAGTGATGTTTATAAATATCCGACAGGGTTGGCAAAGACCGTTTATGAAAGGGAAAATTGCCCAACCTCCACCAGAGAACCGGAGGCAATTTTAAATCGCAGCCGTATTGCGACATCAGATCATCCCTGATGAAGGCACTAGGACCTGGAGTGTTTAGACGTTGGGCCGTGAATGCAATTCATCTGGGCTTTGCATTCATTTACTTAAAATTAATTTTTTGCATAAAAGAAAACAATAATTTGTATCTGTAATTTTTTTATAGATTGCCAAAGAGCTATATGCCATACTGGATGTTGTTGACAAGAAATGTCCTCATCTTTATCACATTGATACGATATGTGATTTTTTGTATCCTTTAATAACTAGCATTTTATGTGTTTTCAAGAGAGTATTTCCTAATTTTAAACAATCAAATGCTAAACATCAGTTTCTTAGACGCATCTCTTAGTTGTAATGTCGATAGTTAACATACTCGTATTACATAACTCTACGAGTTAATAACTAACTGTGGGTAGTTGATATCCCTGGACGGCAATACGATTTTACTTTCCAGTGGAAAAGCTGTTGGGTGAGAAAGAGTTACTTTGTAATTAAAAATAAACAATATTTTAATTGACAGCTTGCATGTTAGACTAAATTTTAATATAAGGGACTGGTTATAATTTAGCAGGAGGGGTGGGGAGGTGGAAATAGTGGGGGGTCACATATTTTTTAGCCAGGAAAAAGGGGGGGTTCATAAAATATTAGACAGTTTATGAAGGCGGGGAGGGGGTCTGCTGTTTTTGTTCAATTAATTGTTTTATACATGCCTTCTCACATTTTGTTTGAGTTGCATTGAAAAAAATTGATTCTTTAAACTTAGAATGAAAAGTTTGAAAAAGTTTTATATATGACTATGTATTGGTATAATAAATTTTAGTATTTGATTTAAAGCGCAAATAGAAAATTAGAAAATTTAAAGTGCAATTAGTAAATTTATTGAATGCAGAGTTTAGTAGTAGGTAGGTCCATTTTTACTGACACGAGCAAGAGAGAGGGGGGGGGGCATTATTTTTCCGGGTTATGGCAAAACAGGGTCACAAAATATCATTCCTTAAAATTTTGAATTACACCTCCCCACCCCCACCCCCCCCCTCTGATAAATTATGACCAGTCCCTATGTAGAGAGAAAAAAATCAGCTAAAAAAAACACAACAGCTAAAAAGAACATGAGATTAGTAAAATTGCAAAATTTGGTTGCGATTGTAAAGCTTGGAAATGTTTGTATACATTTTCGACTCAAAAATGGTAACAATTTCCGCACGTAATACAAACATATACAAAATTTGCAAACTTCGCAAGGTTATATTTTCCGTATTTTACAACATTTCGTAAACAAATTTTGCAATTTTATACTAATTTTAATAAGTTCTTTATGGGAATTTACTTTTTTTTGCCTAGATCAAAATTCTAACATGCAAGTTGTCTATTGGCAGTGACAAAAGAGTTTTTGAATTTGAAAAGTTCAGTTGATTACCTTAACTATCAAAAAAGCTATCATATAAAGTACATGTTTGTTGGCGACTCTATTAAACAAGACATACAACATTATATCGCCAGTCTACGTCCAGTGCTTCGAAACCGTATGCAGTTCATTGCACATGTTGGCCATGCTCGCGAAGATACTGCATCCGTTTCAACGTAACACAGACTTGATGGACGAAATGACATACCGGTATTATGTCGAGCGGATGCTTGCACTCTGGATATAACTGGATTAGTTATGCAAAATTTGGAGTCCAATTGGTTGCATCTGTCGTGATTATGTCGTATTATAGCTTGTCTTGTATTCAAATTAGTCCTGTATCATTGGAGATATGTTTCGACATACTCTATTACATCTGCCACCTTTACGTTGTCGCAAAAAGTGGTGTAACTTTGGGCTATAGGGGACCCAGGCGTGCGTGGTGGCCATTTAAGCCTAACTTCGTCCCCAGGCTTCTTCCTCCGCTGGTTACGTGTCCCATGGAAAATTGATTGCCTATGGGTGAGGGAAAAGAATGGACATTCAATGTCTATTTGGCTAGTGTCCAAACGTTTGCTGAGTTTAAAGACCTTAAAGACGGCTACGACAGTCGCTGCTGAGACCCAGCGCTCCATTTGCCCTATTCAAATTAATAAGTAAATCAATACAAAGTTTATACCGTTTCGAAATAACGGCAATAGACCTTATGCATAGTGACGTCACAAGGCTGGATGTCCGCGAGGAATGCTGGTCTTAGTAGTCATCGCCCAGGAAAATTAAACAATTCAAAATGGCCGCTATCGAAATTTTCCTGGGCGATGACTACTAAGACCAGCATTACTCGCGGGCATCAAGCCTTGTGACGTCATTATACATAAGGTCTATTCAGGGGAAGCCTCACAGTGCCTCGGAAGGTCGTCTCCAATTGGATGGGGGTTTTCGAACGAAGCAATGTCATTGTTCTGAACACAAAAGCAATTGTCAAATCTAGCCAATGAAAATAGACTCCTAGCCCTCTTCTTCCTTAATATTAGAATTTTCATGTAAATAAATAAATATTATTGGGCAAAATCAAATAAATAAATAAAATCACTCTTCCGAGCTACTGCGAGGCTACCCGAAATAGGGCCCCTTGTTCTACTTTTCTTTGGGGTGTCCCCCCCCCCAGTAGTTACAGAGTCCTGTAACCTAGCAAGTGTTGCCATTGGCAAGACATTTGTGTGAAATGCTACTTCATTTCTTAATAGCAACAGCTTCAGAAGGCTTAGATTAATTCGTTGTGTATTATAACATGATCTTTTATAGTATAGTGAGCTGGTTGACCAGCTTAATTTTGACCTTTAGTGTGACTTCATCGTGTGAGACTCCCAGTGCTAAGATATCAACTTGCCCAAGCTGGGCCAGTCCATTTGACCAGCCATGGTTCATATAAATGCTATCTTAAAAATATATAAAACAAGACCCTGCATCTAGCAGGATTAACTTGTGACAATGTCATGCAGTGATATTTTGTACAGAAACAAGGCAGCACACAGGCGTGTAAGTATGTTGTAACTGCTGAATGAAATTTGTTTTGTAATAACCTATTACTTGCAATGCAATCTTACAACACGGGCTTTTGGTATAGCTACGCTTCTCGGAGGTGTCAGTAATGTGCGCAACACTTTGGACAAGTCCACACAGTCACGTGAATCATGAGTCAACATGTACTTTTTAAGATAGTTTAAACCCAACAATTAATAAATCCCAATCACTAAGATTATGGCACCCACAGCCGCCATGTTGGTGTTCCAATTCAAAAGAATTTTAATTAGACTCTTGTCTGGAACACCGACATGGCCGCCATGGCTTTTGCGGTTGAGTTGGTCCCTGGGGAATGAGTGCAATAGGACCAATACCTTACCTAGGACCAACCTAGAACAGTTAGTAGGAAGCTTAAGCATGTAGGACGACGACGGCGGCAACCAATACAAAGAGTCCATGAAAAGAAATAAATAATTAAAGTCCCTGGGGATTTTCAGACGTAGTCGTCGCTCTGTTTACAACGGCAAATCACAGATTTTCACGTCTTTTATACAACGCCTGCATTTGAAGCCGTAACATAAAGCCAATGTTTTCAACTTCTTATACTGTATTAAAATCATACGAATTATAAGATACGACAAGTTTTCTTTACTATCATTTATTTGAAGGAATTTGTTTTGGCCGTCGTCGCCGCATTGCCGTCCTACATGCTTAAGCTCGCTAGTCCTGTAGTGTATAAAACGCACTAGGGACTGGCCTAAAGGCCGTTTTCCCATTAACGTTCGAACGCTTTGCCCGCGCGGGCGAGCCGTTCATTGTTTTTGACGCCCGTCAAGCCCGCGTGAGCAGATTTTCAAAGCCCGCGCGGGCAAAGCGACTTCAATGGAAACCGGCAACCGGCCTTAAAGGCCATTTTCCATTGCAGTCGCTTTGCCCGCGCGGGCGGAGCGACCAATTTTAATCACATGGAAAATCAGTCGCCCAGGCACGCCAAGAAAGTTGAATGTAGTTCTACTTTCATGGCGTGCCCGCGAGCATTCAGGCAGAAAAAAATGCACAGGTTAGGCAACTACAGAGAAAGTTGAGTAATGTTCGCTCCGCCCGCGCGGGCAAAGCGACTGCAATGGAAAATGGCCTTAAGACTGACTTAGGACCGACCTAAGTCCATGTTTTCAGGCCAAGCATTAGAGGTGAGCTGAAAACATATTAGATCAGTCTTGGGTAGCAACACATTTTCACTGACCCAAGACGTGCTGGAGGCTAATTTCCATGACAACAAACGTAAATTCGAGTCTTTGATGTCGGCACTCTGCGGATGTGGTTTTGTACTTGAATCGGGTGTCGCAGATTTACTTCGGTCTTCGTATAGTTAGGGGATACGTTGCATGGCGCCATATTACAGTACGAGTGGACACCCCCTGGAATGTCAGTATATATCACACGCTTTGGCTGCCGTAGGAGTCTTGGTTGGGTTGCCGGAACAATCAAACCTGGGCGGGAAGGTTCTATTTTCACCAGTATTCAAGCAAATCTTGAATTCACGCAAATCTGGCTAGCACTCAGGGGCGAAGAAAGCATCAAATGATGGGGAGGGGCACCGGCTTCCAGGGGCACTTTTGGACAATGAAAAAGAGCACCTAAAAAGGGGGGAGATAAATGTTCCGGTCAATCGATCATCCGTGAATGTTTTTGACCTAATTTATTTTTAAAACATCGAAATTTCCAAACAAAAAAGGCACCTTGACCTTCTATGTTTATAATCTATATTAACATCGAAGGTGCCATTTTTGTTTGGAAATTTCGATGTTTTAAAAACAAATTTGGTCAAAAACTGGCATTAATTAACTTGTACAAGCTACATTAGCTTGTACAAAAAGGGCACTTTTCATCACAAGAAAGGGCAGTTTTGATCCTTGTAGTAGTCAGAGTGTATAAACAGACACTTTATTAATATCAACAACATTATAAACAATACACGAACAATAAACGAAATAATATAGTTTTTCGAAATAATATAATTTCTACGAAATTAATCTTTAAGCGAGACGTGAATTTAACAGCACGTTGTAACCGATAATCTATTGTAGTTGTGAAGCCATTGTATGCAATAAAGTATTGGGTTGTAATCGGTTTACAATTACAATAACCCTAATCCAAACACTAATACTAACCCCAACCTGATGGCCTTTTCTTTCGGTAAACTCAGCGCCCAGGCGCAACCTACTACCTCCCTTTTATGGCGATTACATTTGTAAGTAAAACTTTTCGCCAATGCTTGTGGTTTTGTCTTCAGTTACAACCCAATACTTTATTGCATACGCTTTATGGCTTTACAAATACAATAGATTATTGGTTGCCACGTGCGGCCCACCAATCTCGTACCCAGAGCCATCGTTGAGTATTTCGTATTAGACTCTTCATTACAATATTTAATGCAAATCTCTTTTTTTTTCTTATCCCACATGCCAAGCTCTTTCATGGGCGTACCGGAAGGAAAAAATTAGGGGGGCGGAAAGAAATTTGCCCGACTTTTCCGGATTGTGCCCGACCAGTGCCAAAAAAATTATTTCCGGAACAAATTAATTTTGGCGACCACTCCCCCCCCCCGTAGCCAAAAAAAGTTCGGTCAGTGTACCATTTTAGGGGTCCAAAAATTTTTCGGACATACCAAAATTTTTCGGAACATCACACAAATTTTCCAGACATCACAAAATTGACCACAAAATTGACAGAATTTCCCACAAAATTGACAGAACTTGTCCCATTTATTTTTATAATAAGCCAATATTGCCTAGCCTCCTGCGCAGACGTTGTTAGTGGCCCGAGGCCTCACCTAACGTCTGCTCACATTCGCTATACATTTGACTTCCCGGCAATTAACCAATCACAATCATCTACACGATAATTGGAAGATCGGCCTTCAATGACCTTCACACGCATGGGCTATATCAACAAGTCTGTAATATTTTTAAATTTGAAAGTTTTAACACTGCGCATTAGAAAAAGGCTTTTCAGTCTATTATAAACGAAAAGGATGTTTTCGTAAATCTCACAACTGACGCAGGAAATCACTTATTTATCACGCCGTTACCGAAGCTATTCGATGTAATATTCGGATTTAAATATTTAAACAAATTGTAAACATTGTAAACATTTAGTAATCGTGATTTCGTCATTGATAAATTCAATACGATCGTGATCAAGTAAAAAAATTACACAATCTAGGAGTCGGTGCTGTGTCATTATTAAGTTTAATCGAGAGCGATAAAGAAGCGAAGACATTGGAAGATGGGAAATATTCTGACTGTATTATATGGCACAGCAGAGTCATTGCTGAAGACAAAGACAAAGTGTATGGCAGAACGGTTTGTGCTTTGCCTTTGGCTATTGATGCATGAAGCTCATTTCAGTATGTATTATAATAAATCCTAAACATGTGTTTGCATTTGTAATTCTCAAAGCCACAGCAATCGATCGGCTTTGACCATTTTAATAGTCGTTATTTTATATTGTCTTGATTTATACGTTGTCTCGTATTATCTATTGCACGTAGCACCAGCAAGTTTATGAGCCATTCTAGTTAATATACATCATACATGCCCCAACCCTCTGATGTAAACCCTTCATAATTGCCCTCATATAAACTTGCATGCTAGTACTACATGCAAATAGATAATACGAGGCAATGTATAAAAAGACAAATTCAATTTAAATAAACAATATAAAATATTAATGAATAATGACTATTAAAATGGCCAAGCCCGATCGATTCCTGTGTCTTTGGGAATTACAAAAGCGAACACATTTTTAGGATTTATTATAATACATACCATTCTTTAATCGCACGAGCTTCATGCATCAACAGCCAAAGCACAAACCATTTTGCTATACGTACAATTTGTTGAAGCATTCGTTTCCATCGTTCGGTCTTCAACAATGACTCTGCATATAATACAGTCAGAATATTTCCATTCTTCCAATGCCTTCCCTTCTTTATCGCTCTCGATTCAACTTAATAATGACACAGCACTGACTCCTAGATCGTGTAGTTTTTTGACTTGATCTCGTATTGAATTTATCAACCAAAACCACGATTACTAAATGTTTACAATGTTTACAATTTGTTTAAATATTTAAATCCGAATATTACATCGAATAGCTTCGGTAACGGCGTGATAAATAAGGGATTTCCTGCGTCAGTTGTAAGATTTACGACAACATCCATTCCTTTTCGTTTATAATAGACTGAAAAGCCTTTTTCTAATGCGCAGTGTTAAAACTTTCAAATTTAAAAATACTACAGACTTGTTGATATAGCCCATGCGTGTGAAGGTCATTGAAGGCCGATCTTCCAATTATCGTGTAGATGATTGTGATTGGTTAATTGTCGGGAAGTCAAATGTATAGCGAATGTGAGCAGACGTTAGGTGAGGCCTCGGCCACTAACAACGTCTGCGCAGGAGGCTAGGCCAAACATTAAAACGGGAAAAATAGAAAAAGTTGAATATTTTCTAAACCTTTCGTCAGTTTCTGAAAGGCTATATGAGTAAAATACTCTTTGTATTCACAGACATTCCAACCTCTGAGACCTCAAAACCGGGACACTTCCCAATTTTCCTATTTTACTTAAATAAACGCCTCCCTCAAATAAACGCCTCCCTCAAATAAATGCCGCGCTTTTCTCATTGATGTGGTGTCTCTTTGGGTTAGTGTTAAAATTGGCTGAGTTGAGTTTGAATTAAACAATAAATTCACAGTGGATGCTACAAAAACTAGTTTTATTACACTAACGTTGAAACCCATAAGTAATATAACATCTTCTCGACAAGCTTTAATTTCACTGAAGTACTGTACTGGCGAAATTGTTTCATTTTACTCTCGTATTCAAGAGCCCGCGATTATTGCGCCCGCTTCTGTTACGCTGCTTTACTTCATGTAGCCCTTGGCAAAATGAATAGGAATTGAAAGCGAACGCTAAATTGTCAAAACAACGTATGTCACGAGAATTACCGCGATCGGCGACAAACTTGGCAATTGTTTGGGGCAACTAGAAGCTCCTATGTCATTTAATATGTACTGAACCAAACAAATTTCATTAATATTGTCACACGAGCCTTATTTGAAGAATACAACTATTAAAATACTACAGAAACCGGGACAACATAGTCCAAACCAGGACAGTCCCGGGTAAACCGAGACGGTTGGAATGTTTGTATTCAAGCGCATTCGTGTAGAAAGTTTCGTATGAATACGGAAGCGTCGGGTTTTACTCGCACGTGCGTGTGTTACGCAATACTTGGCCAATAAGGAGCTCCTTTAGCCAGGATGAGGTCAAACTCACGCGTATGGGTGCACTTTGACCTGTAGAATCCATTTCTGGCATTTCCAGAGACACGCGACACAAACGTCGCATTGTTTTGGACGATATTTAGTCGTATTTCCGGTTGGGATTATCGCCTAATTCAGGCACAGGTGGCCCAGGCTCTGTGGGGGTATTTATTTATTTTTTAACGTGCACGTTAATAGATCAGGAGGGTTGAGGAGAAATATTTTAACGAGCGGCGCGGTTACAAAGTATGAAAAATTCAAATTTTAACGGTTTGGTTCCAGAGCAGATCGATTCACGAGTGCGGAGAAAGTGCTTTTGTTTACATTAAGTTGTTCTAATTCTTCAAGGAAAAACGAGGGAAAGGATTTTACAAGTTAGGAAGATTGAATAAACATAAATATGTGTAGCCGCTGCTTTAGGAGCGTTTGGCAATATTTTAACGGCGAGTTTTGTTGACATTTATGTCTCGCCCAAGTTCGCCCGGCGTTACAGCTACCTACCTTTGCGTTATTGATAGTGGGTGAATATTAGATGTTTGATAATATCGACAGGGTTCAACCAAATGGCCTGAAAATCGACGAGTATGAAGTAAATGACACAGTAAACAAGTAAGTCCGCCAATATTTTGAATCAGAGAGCATTTAGACATTATTTTTTCACAATAGTTTACAATATATATAAAGTGTATATTATATCGCATTCTCATATTCATTAAACCACCCCCAAATCACACTTAATACACAAAGGAAACTAAGTAAGTTATACTTTATAATTTAAAGTCATATTTAATGCAAAATATAATAAAATTAAAAAATAAATAAATACCCACACAGAGCCTGGGCCACCTGTGATTCAGGCCAGAAATGTAATTATGTAAAATAAAATAACACTTGAAAATAACACTATACATACTTAAAAAACAATTCATCAAGAATATCAAAATGAGCATACTTCTCAAGGGGTCGAAATTATGTTCGGCGAAAGGTATGTTTATGTGTTAATACGGAGTTTTTCCGACGAGCATTCCATACCTAATTTTAGTCTGCAGTGATAACCAATTTGTGCAGTGATTAAAGTAAAATGTGCAGTTATAAAATGTAAAATGTGCAGTGATAAAATTTGCTTTGATAAGTTGTTAATTAACACAAGAAAATGAGACAATGAGCAGAAAAACTGAACTAATCCGGCGAAACATTTTGAATGAGAATGATTTAATTGAAATGATGACTGCCAAATTATCGAACGTCCGCATTAACAACATACTTATGGTAGTCAATTTATCCCGGGCGTTCTGTGACCCCCGTCCGCGATCATATCAGATCATGTCAGCGGCTCAGCATTTAGCATAATTAATTAATACAATTTGAATTCGCGCGCGAATTATTAAAGATATTATTTTAATTGAATATAATACACTTAAAAAACTAACGTGACCCTAACTCTAATCCAACCGAAAGGTATTGTATAAAGGCAATCTTAGGGAAAATCGTAAAGAAAATAGTGAGAACGAAAAACAAAACATTGGCCATTGCGGAATCGAACCACCAATTAACAGCATGTTAGATGTACGCAACGCCCTAGACAAACACGCCACCGGCACTCGCTGAAATGCTAATGCAGAAATCTAAATATATAGTGGTCACAAATATAAATAATACGATCAGCTCACATTTAGTATAAAATATTGTGATGGCATGGCATTTACTGTTTTTCTAGACACGTTAAGGACCTCAAATTTCAGAGAGGTTAGTTTGTGAATTTTCTCAGAGGATGCCAAGTTAATTTGCATGTACATGGGAATGTATTTTTCAAAATAAACTAGTATAAACCAGTCATATTTGTTCTTTGATGGTAAATACGGTATTGGAATGATGGCCCATGTATCTGGAATTATGGAAATATTTCCACTTTCTAAAGTTGTAAAATTCCTTTGGAATTTTGAGTAAAACCTTCGAACTTCGGGCGATGTTATTTAAGTAATTTACTAGATGCCACTGACATGATCTGATATGTTCGCGGACGGGGGTCACAGAACGCCCGGGATAAATTAACTACCGGTTCCTTAATTAGCTGGGTAAGATTCATTGTTAAGCAAAATGTACTAAGCGCTTGAGCCTCGAGGCTCTCTTTGTTCATAATATTGCAGTTCAAGTCACCGCAAACCACAACGTCTTTATTGTAGCATAAAGCCCTGGTGTACGTGGGTATAAGACACTACTCCAAACAAGCAACTGGACAACTCGGTGGTCTATATGTTACGCATATCAATAAAGACTTGAATTTTTTGTTTTGAACTTTAAACCAAAGCTGTTGAAATCCCGTACTAGATGTCACAATCAATTCCTTCACGATGTGCGCTTTGATACTATTGTGAACATAAACACATACTCTCCCGCCAACTTCCCCCAAACGATCATGTCTGAGATTATAGCCTTCTATTTGGACTTCAGCGTTCGATACTTTAGAGTTTAAGATTAAGCCAGCTTTCTGACAGAGCGAAAATCTTATATTGATTATTAAAGATTAATTGTTTAACTTGAATAAAGTGTTCCCTATTTTTCAAGGAACGTATATTAAGATGGGCTATAGTGATACCTTTCTCGCTCGACTGTATAAATCTCTGTTTTATATGGGCATTGATTGTTGTCCGGCTACCTTATATTGGAATACTAATATGACAGATTGCACGACTGGATAGCTTGTGTCTATTTCTATTACATCGATAAGATGGAATCATTGCCGGTGTCCCAGCAAGGGATGGAATCATTGCCGGTGTCCAATCCGTTTGAGGTTATTACAACTACAATTGTACCTTGTAGTTGTGGATTTCGTGTTCATCAATTAAGCGGCAGTGACCTCGAATATGGCTTGAATTGACCAACTGAGAATTGTCACTACAAGTTTGAGGACCAGGGTTTGAAGAAACGTGCACACATATAGTTATATCCATCTCATAGTAAGGTTTCATACAGAGAACCAAACTTACAGATCCGTTTCGTTTGTTTAGCAACTGCGAAAGACACTTTAAATTTAGATTCGAAGCTAACTCGTTGTGTGTTGACGTGATAGTGAAAAACAAATTCTTTATAAGTTCCCGAGATCGTACCATCCACGGCCAATCCATCGATATCCACCAAGAAAACACGCTTAGATTTAGCACCAGGGGCCGGTTGTTCAATGCTGGACTAGCGCTAACCCTGGGTTAAAATTTAGCCTGCTGTTTTAGTTTGTGTATTTCTACACGTCTGTTTATTTCAAAACTTCAGAGAGAAAAAAATATTTCCAAATTTACAGACAAGCTGTCAGGAAGTTTGCTTTGAATTTCAGGTTAACCTGGGTTAAGCTAATCCAGCTTTGAACAACTGGCCTCAGTTGAATTATGTAGTTGTAAGTGATTAAATAAAAGAAATAAAAGAAATAACACAAAAATACGAATGATTATGGGCCTCGATATGGGACAGCCGACTGATCGCCATATTGACCGGTCAGTAATCGTACGGACATAATATTATTATTATTTTTATTATCAGCGCTTATATATGTTGGGGTAGTTCCAGCTAAATAATGTTACAACATACTGGGGCTAACACACTAGTCAGTTTCAAATGGGGCAGTTTGGCTTTTTCCCTCTTCCACGATTTTGTGCTAAAAGTTGCATGCTTTCACATTTTATCGACATTTTTTGTTACAAATCATTTCATTGACTTTCACAATAGCAGTACAGTTTACTTCATTGTCTTTTCCACGCATTTTTGATATTTTTGGTACTTTTCAGGACATAAAGGAAAGGAAAGCATTAGCGAAGTCTATAAAGTTCATCAATAATTGCGGGCGCGTGTCTTTGTTTCATGGTGTCATGGGTAAACCGCCTACTGATCTATTAATTTAACGTTAACAACTTTTTTGGTTAATATCTATTTGAAATACGTACAAATTCATTTTGAAAAATAACCAAGGGGCGAACGGGACTGAAGTACCCATGCAACGTGCCTTCCCGTTAAAATAAAACGTTAAAAGTAACATAATAATAATAGTAACATAATAATAATTTTAGGGGTGGCGCCCTGCATGGGTCTCGTTGTCCCGTTTGCGCTAGCCCCATTGGACGTATACCCTGTAACTTTCTTTGTTTGTATAATAATATGTTTTATATGTATGTCCAATAAAGCTGATAAAAAAAAGATCGACATTAAAACTATATAGTAAATTTAGGTAAAGTCAATCTCAATGGCAAAATTTTTAAAAATTTACGACAGGCACGAGACAGGGTCATGCATTGAATACAGTTCAGTTGATATCTTGGTTTGAGTAATTGTTTAAATTGTTAGATGTTGGGAAACCATGTACAGGAGTAGGTCTAGGAGGTGTTTTGCAAATAGTGTTTCAGAGTCTGACAATCCGGTTATGGCCTATAAATGAAATTATATATTCATTGACGTTCACGTCGATGCACCCATAATTTATAAGGTCTTGTAACAAAGGTTAGGTCTTTGATTTCCAAAGATGTTTGAAGTATGACAAATTGCAGGAGTGAAATTGTGGAAGAAAGGCGAGGAGGGGGGAAACATTATTCAGAAATGAGACGAGTAGCTTTTGGATCTTGGCTTTTTACATGCGGCCAGACAGGGATTTGTCTCAGGCTTTGTTTTTCTTTCCATCTACCCGCATTTAATAAAGGGAAAATATAGCCTGATACTCAGGCTATTATTATTATTAGTTAAGAAGTTAATTGATATTTTTACTAAATTTCAGGTATAATGACAACCTAAGATCTCAAGATGCCATGAATATTACTCTGTTTCATTGGGGACTCCATGCATGGGTCGTCTACGTTCTGGTTGGTCTGCTATTGGCCTATGTTGGTCATCGACATGGTAGACCAATGACAATACGCTCTTGCTTTTATCCTCTTATTGGCGATAGAGTGTATGGCCTAGCCGGTGATCTAATAGATACCCTGTCGGTTGTTGGCACAATGTTTGGTGTCTGCACATCTCTCGGACTGGGTGTAATCACTTTGAACAGCGGACTTCATCGTCTTAGTAGCAGTATCGATGATGACGACCAGACTACGAGAATTATCATCATTTGGGTTATCACTGCCATGGCAACCATATCCGTTGTGTCTGGTTTGAAAGTCGGTATTCGTCGTCTCAGCGAAATATGTTTCGGACTCGGGATGTTTCTCATGCTTTTTGTGTTTTTCCGCGGAAACACCTGGTATTTCTTGAATGTTTATGTGCAAGGTGTTGGCTACTACTTTCAGTATGCTATAGAACTTAGTTTTCATACTGAGGCATATGCACAGGAAGGGAATGCTCCGGATGGTAAAGAGAACCCAAACTGGATGGAAGATTGGACGATATTTTACTGGGGATGGTGGATATCTTGGTCACCGTATGTTGGTATGTTTATTGCGAAGATTTCCCGAGGTAGAACAATCAGGAACTACTTGATGTGCACCATGACTGCACCAATCCTTTACACTTTTCTGTGGTTCAGCATCTTTGGCGGCGCTGGTTTAACCATGGAAAGAGAAGCCGCACTGGCAGGAATAAACTGTTCGTCAGAGCTTGGGGGGAAATATGCCAAGGAGTCATATCAGGGTATGTTCCGATTATCTTGTCGCACCGAGGCACAGATGTTTTTTGACCTAATGCAAAGCTATAATGAGAACCTAACTCCGTTCCTGTACGTGATATCTCTCGTAAGTATTGCACTGTATTTTGTAACAAGTTCCGACAGTGGTTCCTTGGTTATTGACTGCCTTTCAGCCAACGGAAGTCACGATCCACCTGTCATACAACGTGTTTTCTGGGCTGTAACAGAAGGAGCCTGTGCTACAGGTCTACTCGTTGCAGGAGGTACTGACGCTCTAACTGCTCTTCAAACTGTTTCAGTGGCTGCTGGGTTGCCTTACACTGTCATCGTTTGCTTCATGTGCGTTGCTCTTTGGAAAGCGATCACATCCGAAGGCAACCCTGACAGAAAAAGTTCTGGATTCCTGACCAGTTTATTCCACGTGTTTACCTTCCCTCTTTCTTTACAAAAATTGCTCGATTTGGTCATTGCTGTAACAATCCCATGGCTTCCAGCAGGACGCGCATCTGCAAAGGTTGGTGGTCGAAAAATGTACGTCCCCATGGTGACAATGGCGGTGCTTTTCAACACTTTTATAATACTACTCATCCTGCAAAAGGTGGAGACCGATATAGCGTACATTGGTTGGGTCGTATTGATGGGATATTTTGCTTACGTCACAGGAATACGTGCAGAGGTCAGGAAAGCTTTCGAAATCGATGGAAATATGTTTCAAGATTTTCTCGTTGTTATGTTCCTGCATCCTTTTGCCGTAGATCAGCTGGACAGGCAGATGTTGTATGAGCGCACCATGAATGACGCAAACGATGGAGCAGAAATGCAAGATTTCGAAAGAAATGCGACGGACATAGAAGAAAAAGAAACATTTATAAAAAGGTCTTAAACTTTTTGTCAGTCGGGGATGGAAGCGGATAAATTCAACATTCAATATTCCTACTTGCATCATTCCATCATTAGTCCTACTTTCAATATTCCTAAAATACCAAATTCCAAACATTCATTGCAATTTCGTTTCAAATATTCATATTCCAACTATGATGCTATGAATATTCATATTTCTAACTTAAATCTTCATATTCCTACCATAAAGCTACGGTTACAGACGAGCAAGTTTTCATATCACAAGTTTTATTTAATAATTGCACGTGTGTACGTACAACAAATTTTCATGTCAGGTTTCTGGTCTTCTGACCACCACGATAGCTATTATTAACTATTACAACAATAAGTCGCTGACCAACTGCATGCAGGCGCTCAAATTACTTTGCCAAATTTTCTTTGTTGATCCGTACGAACGAAAAAAATTTGTACTTTGCTAATTTTTTCTATGACAAATGCACTTGTTCAAAAACTAGCATACTAGCTTTAGCATATAGTTACCAAAACATACGAGCACAATCTCGTATACCCAGAGCAATTTGCCTCCACGATACTCCGAGCAAACTAAAACTTGTCATGTGCCAAAACTTGTCATAGAAACCTTTTAATTTCCGTCTGTAACTGGTTTAAATGTTCTTGTTCAAATTACTTTCAAACTCATTATATATTCAATATTTAATATTCCCGCTTCCACCATCCGTAGCAGCATTTGGAAAACACTCAAGGGGACAGGCACGTTATATGCCTCTCAAGTGTGAAGTTGTTTTAGAACAGCTCCTAGACATTTTATTTCTTTTAAGTTAAATAACATTAGTAATGACTATAATAGATTAAATATATACACCAGTCTTTTGATTATATATATCATACATGTAAGCACGTAATCAGCAATTATTAAGACATATTTCCAATAAAACGCCTTATAAGCGTGCTCGGAATGCGACAGTTCTTTACGTACACCTATAGTGAAATATGACAATTTTCCATTCGGTTTTATTTAGCTATAGTGTTCAAACGTTAGCATAACTAACTTACTTCATTTTGTGTAAGTGAGTAGTCTATCATAACCTAATTTAATTTCAAGCCGTTGTGCGACTTACGATAATTGAACATTCAAAATTTTTCTCATAAAATGACGCCTTTTGAACAAATTTCTCGAAATTTGCAACAGTTGCTTTAACCGGCCGCAAAGTTGTTTTTTTTTTGTTTTGTTTTTTTTGGGGGGGGGAACACTAAAAACCATTCCTTCCATGTGGTGCCACTGGCATACTTTGCCCCCCCCCCCCAAATTGTGTTTTGGCAAATTTCTTGACATTTGAATAGTCCCCCAAATCATTTGGAATGTTTGGGAAATTTTAAAAAAGCTTTCCTTATAGATGAAAATGAGCGTTATATATATGTACTTGCCAAAACATGTTTTATACCTAACTTGCAACATTTTCTCCAAATCGCAAGCGGGAGCATAATTATTATGCATCGTTTGGTCCCCCTACCCCTGCTGTTTTGGACCAATCAGAAAACAGGCGATGACTTCAATATACAAAATGTTCCATCAGGGGTATCAACCACTTGCATGGTGACCCATCCCTTTCCTTATTACACCTAAAGCCACATGTTGTACAGGGTGTCTAAAAAAACGCTACGGAAATTCAACAGGCTGTCGTGCATCATAAACATCAAAAACGTGGCTAAACAATTCAATTTTTATATAGGACGAAAGAACAGTTATTTAGCTTTTCATTGATACTCTTTTTAAATCGTAACGAGGAGAAATGGTCACATACTCGCCAAATAAAAATTGTCGATCGAAATCACATTCTTCCACCGTTGGGAGTTGCAAGGAAAACGAACCATAGACAATTCCCAAGAGGGAATTAAAATTGAATTTTAAATTATCTAAAATAAGCTCAACTCGTCCATCTTTGTCTCAGTGAGACCATAAGAACGTCCATTATTGCATTAAACATGGTTCCATTAACCACTGAACAGAGAACATTCGTAATCAAAACGTGTTTTACGAAACAAGTACCTTGCAAAAGGCTTGCGTTGCTTTTGGATTGATTAAGGCTACGTTTACACTGTATACCCAACGAATTTTGAACCGGAGTAAAATTCGTCCGTTCGGCCGTGTAAACACACGAAAACCACGAAACCGGACGAATTTGAGACCTCCTAACAGGACCAATTCGCGTATAAATAGGCGAAAAAGGACGAATTTCAGACCGGTCCCAAATTCGTCCGGTACCGTGTAAACGGGGTCTAACTTTGCATAATTAATGTACTTTCAATTCCCAACGGTGGAAGAATGTGATTTCGACGGACAATTTTTATTTGACGAGTATGTGGCCATTTTTCATCGTTACGGTTTAAGAAAAGTATTATAGAAAAGCTAAATAATAGCTCTTTCGTCCTATGTAAAAATTAAGAGAGGATGTCCACAAAAATCAAACATAAAGCGGCCACGACTGAAAAATCGATTTTGCTCAAATTTTGCCCAGATATACCTTATTATATCGGAAAATGCACCATATATTTTTTTAGGTCAAATGCTTTTTTAACTTT